CTCCTCCTCCTCCTCCTCCTCCTCCTCATCATCATCATCATCATCATCATCATCATCATCATCATCATCATCATCATCATCATCATCATCATTGCCGTTGTGCCATTCTCAAACCGCTAGTCGCTGGGCCGCGCGGCCCGCCGCGGTCTTGGAGCACATGGCGCCTTGGCAGCGGGAGCTGCAGAATGCGCTAGCTGCCGCGCGAGGCGCGGTGTTGGTGTCCCACGCGGCCTCGGGCCTCACGCGGAGCGCAGCGGCGGTGTGCCGCTTGCTGCGCACGGCCGAGGGCCTGTGCCACGTGCAAGCCTCGGCAGCCCGCCGCGGCGGCAGCTGAACGCGATGGTGGAGGAGCTGCGGAGCCGCCTGCTGCTCCCGCGGCGCCGGCGGCGCCTGGCGGTACGCCGGGAGGCGGCGTCGGGCTCGGCGTGGACGCCGTGCCGGTGGAGCACAGGGCATGCACGTAGACGACCTCACCACCGTGGCGGTGGATGAAGCCGGCGGCGGCGCGGAGCTCGAGGACGACAGTTGGGCCGACCGCGCGGTGCGGCCCGCGCTCTCGCTTGCACCGTCGTGTGTGCCGGGGGCGGAGGTGGCGGTGGCGCGTGCGCCTGCGCCTGCTGCCGCCGCGCCTGCTCGTGGTGCTGATGGAGCGGTACTCGCTGCTGCTCCTCCCGCTGGTCGTCTTCCTGTGGGTGGCTCGAGGAGGTGGCCCCTCGAGCCTGCGGCGACGCCTGGCGCGGCGGCGATGCCCGTGGCCGAGGCGCCTGGCGAAGAGGCTGCTTCCGACGCCCCCGTGGCGAACAGGGAGCGGATGCTGGCCGAGGCGCGCGCCAGGATCGCGGCGAAGAAGGGCGTGGGCTCCTGGCCCTTGTGGATGCGGTGTTCGTGTCCGTGGAGGCGGTCGGGGGCCTGGGATGGGGTAAGGCTCCCGCGGTGGCGGTGGAGCGGCCCCAGGCCCCCGTGCATTTGTTATCAGCCGTTCAAGCCCCGTCAGGCTGCATGCTCGTCTGCTGCTCCTAGCAAAAAAGACTCCTCCTCCTCCTCCTCCTCCTCCCCCTCCTCCTCCTCCTCCCCCTCCTCCTCCTCCTCCTCCTCCTCCTCCTCCTCCTCCTCCTCCTCCTCCTGCGAGCGGCCGAGCCCAGCCCCTCGGCCGGACAGGGCGGCAGGGCCAGCGCGCGATCCACCGTGCCTGGGGCGCGGCCAGGGGGCGGGGCCGAGCGTTCGAAGGCCTGCGGGCCCCGGCGCAGCCGAAGCTGCTGGAGGCAGGTAGTCCCAGGCGCTAGGCCTCCCAGATGGGGTCGGGGTAGATGGGGCAGGAGGATCGCGCCGCATCGGCGATGCATCGGCGGTGCGGCTCGATGTGGGGCCCCATGTTTCTCCACGCCGACGTCGCTGATGCATCGCCGACGTCGCCAGTGCGTCGCCGATGCATCGGCGATGCATCGGCGATGCATCGGCGATACGGCGAGATCCTCCGACCCCGTCTTACTCGGACCCTACCCAGGAGGCCTCTACAGACAGACCCAGGAGCGGGCTGCATCGCTCCAGAGCGTTCCGGGCCGCGGCGCCCGTCACATCCTCCAGAGCCGCCGAGTCTCAGAGGTCCTCGTCCTTGTCCCCGATCCGATTGCCGTCCCGTTGTCGGCTTCGTTTTGGAGTGGCCTCCAGCACCCGAATCTGTTTTGCGGGCAGGCGCGCGCTCGGGAGTCGCTGTGCATCGGGTCACCCCTCGGTGCGGTCGCGCTCGGAGTGGCGCGCCAGCGGCAGCCGCTGGCCCCCCAGAGGAGGTACATCGTCCCGGCCCGATCTCCGCGATGCGAAAGCAGCAGCCGCGTACGTGATCTTTGTGTGTGTGTGTGTGCGGCGTCGCGCCAGAGCCACGCTGGGATAAGGGCCACGGAGGAGGAGGAGGAGGAGGAGGAGGAGGAGGAGGAGGAGTTGGCGGAGGAGGAGGAGGAGGAGGAGGAGGAGGAGGTGGAGGAGGAGGAGGAGGAGGGGGAAGAGGGAGGAGGGAGGAGGGAGGAGGGAGGAGGAGGGAGGAGTGACGAGGCAGGAGGGACGAGGGAGGAGGAAGGGCTCTGGTTTCTGGGCCGCGTTTTCAATACAGGTCGCGGACCCCTGCTCGTGGCCAGGGGTCGCCGCGGCCAGAAGCGCCTCGTCGCTTCTTCTACAGCGGTTTCCCTGCGGTAGCACGGCGACGGTATCTGCTGGCACGCCCTGTCTGCCTTCGGAGCCGAAGAGAGAGTTGGGGCGAACGAGAGGGGGGCGATAGGGAAAGGGGGGGTTACGAAATCTGCTGCATGCATCTGGTTTCGGCCCCGCCGCCGGGCCCATTCCTCGATACATGGGCGCCTCCCGGCGCCGGGAAAATCAGCTGCGTGAGCTGATTCTCTACCCCACCCTTTGCTGTCCCCCCCCTTCTCGGTAACCCCCGAGAGAGAGCGGCTGGAGGCAGTTGTGCAGAGGGCCTGCAGGCACAGAGCAGATCCTCAAGATGGCACTGCTGCTGCTGCTGCTGCTGCTGCTGCTGCTGCTGCTGCTGCCGCTGCTGCTGCTGCCGCTGCTGCTGCCGCTGCCGCTGCCGCTGCCGATGTCGCCCGCTTGCGTGAGGCAGAGGCGCTGCGGAGCCAGAACAGGGACCTCCTGCTCTCGCTGCAGGCCGCGCAGCAGGAGCTGCAGGTGAACGTGGCCGAGTGCCGCAGGCTCCAGGAGCGCGAGGACGCTTACGAGCAGGAGCCGCGGAGACGATCGAAACGGATGCGGAAAGAATGGGTACGAGGACCGACAGGAGTTTTAGATGCTCGTTTTGGGGGAGCTTCCTGGGGCCCACCTCACGGATCTGTTCGACCCCAGTTCGACTCAAGTTCGACTCAAGTTCGACTCACGTTCGACTCAGGCTCGACTCAGGTTCGACTCAGGGTCGACTCAAATCGACGGACGTTCGACGCAGCTTCGACGCAAGAGTGGAGCGAGTGCCTCCAGTAAGGTCCCCAGAATGAGCATCCAGAGAGTTCCTCATTTCGAACGGGACTCACTGGCGGTGCCGCCGCGGACGCTGTTTATTCGAGACAGAGGGCCGCCTGCCCAACAGCTGCCGCTGATGGCTTCAGACGACACCTGCTGTTGGGCGTTGTATCCCTTTTTTCCTTGCCCATTCTGGGCGTTCAAGGGAGGTTGGGGAGGGGTGACGTCAGAGGCGGCCGCGGTGGCCAGCGTGGCGGCCTTTGTGTGTGTCCCGGTTCGCCCTCAGCTGCCTCCTCTCGGGAGCCTTGAGACGGGGGTCAATGCAAACGGGGGTTAGCCAGAGCGCCAGGGCCTGCAGGGCCAGGGTCGCATTGACCCGGGCCTGGGTGCAGGATCCTGCAGGATCTTGCAGGATCCTTCGCATTGACCCGGGTTTGGGCGCAGCATCTTGCAGGATTCTGCAAGGCCTGACTGACCCGGGTTCGGATTCACCCGGGTCAGAAGACCCCCGATCCTCCTCCTCCTCGGGAGCTTTGCGCCATCCCGCGGGCACACGGAAGAGGATGCGTGCGGTTTCTGATCCCGTGTGTGCCTGCCGTTTCCCGTCGTGCTGCTTGCGTGCAGTTGTTGTTAGCTTGTCCTCGTCGTCCCTCCCCTGGGCCCCCAGCGGCCTCCCATCCCATCCTATCCTATTATATCCTGTCCTATCCTATCCTATCTTATCCTTCTGCTCCTCCTCCTCCTCCTCCTCCTCCTCCTCCTCCTCCTCCTCCTCCTCCTCCTAATTCCTCCTCCTCCTCCTCCTCCTCATCCTCCTCCTCCTCCTCCACGTCGGTTGCAGGGCTTCTTGGAGGCCTCGTGGGAGGCATCGTAGGGAGCCTTTTCAAGTCGCCCAGGGGCTTGGGGCGGGCCCTCTGGGAGCGTCTTGGCGACCTCTCTGGGGTACTATTGGGTGTGTCTTTTGGCCCATCTTGTGGAAGAGGGCTCCCGGGGCCCCTGCGAGTCCCCCCTCTTTGGCATGCCTTGGGGCCCTCTTGAGGGCCCTTCTGACCGTCTTGGGGGCCTCTTGGGCCGTCTCTGGGCAGATCTGAGGTGGGCAACGGGCCGCCGAGATCGGGAGCCTTGAGACGGGGGTCAATGCAAACGGGGGTCAGCCAGAGCGCCCGATCTTTCAGGATCCTGCAGGGCCAGGGTCGCATTGACCCGGGCCTGGGTGCAGGATCCTGCAGGATCTTGCAGGATCCTTCGCATTGATCCGGGCTTGGGTGCAGGATCTTACAGGATCTAGCAGGATCTATCAGGATTATGCAAGGGCTGACTGACCCGGGTCTGGATTGACCTTGGTCAGAAGATCCGCGACGAGAGCTCGCGGAAGACCAGAAAGGCGAGAGCGCGACAACGATAGAGGAGGGAAAATTTGGCATAGGAGGGGATGCATCGACCCCCGATCGCCCATTGACTGCGGATAGGGGTCTGATGGCCCTACCTGGCCCATGGACGTGCGGATTCACTACCGGGGGCCTATCGCCGATCTTCTAGGCCTCCTAGATGGGGTCGGAATAGATGGGGTCGGAGGATCGCGCCGCATCGCCGATGCATCGGCAATGCATCGGCGATGCTGCTCGATGTGGGACCCAATCGGCTCCACGCCGAAGTCGCAGATGTCTCGCCGGCATCGCCAGTGCATGGCCGATGCATCGGCGATGCGGCGAGGTCCTCCGATCACATCTACTCAGACCCCATCTAAGAGGCCTCTAGATCTATCGGCGATGTATCGCCGATTCCAGGTCGATGTTTTCCCCCGTATGCCAGCCCCCCACATCGTTGCTCCTCATCGGACTTGTGCCTGCTCGCGAGGCCCTCTTGCGGGTTCCCTTGGTGCCCCCATTGAGGCGTCTTTGGGGCCGTCTTGCGGCCACCCTGCGTGTTGTCGAGGCCGTTCGGGCTCAAGTGGCCTTGTGAACCAACCTCGGGCGAGGGGGAGAGGGGGAGGGAGACAGCCAAATGTCTCGCACACCTTTTCTCCCCTGGCTGGCGGGGTCGGCGGACTGCTATCTCTAAGTTTATCCCCCGCTTTTCTTTTGCTAGAGGGATTCAGTTCGGTCTCACCCTATGGAGGTCTACATGAGCGATGGAAGAAAACCACGGGGTCGTCTCCGCCGACGTTGGCGCGAAAGCTGCCCGCGTAAGGTCGTGCGCGAGTGCCTCCGTTTCGAATGTGGCGTGTCGCGCTGGCGGCCCGCGTAAGCCACCGCGTAAGGCCGCCCTGTCATCTCGCTCAAGGCCCCTTCCTCTTCGTCGCTCGCACGAGCCCTGTCATGGCGTGCGTTCGGCCGGGGAGAGCATCATCCGTGATAATAGGAGGAGGAGGCGGAGGCGGAGGCGGAGGCGCAGGCGCAGGAGGAGGAGGCGGAGGCGGAGGAGGAGGCGGAGGAGGAGGAGGAGGCGGAGGCGGAGGCGGAGGAGGAGGAGGAGGAGGCGGAGGCGGAGAGGAGGAGGAGGAGGGAGGAGGAGGAGGAGAAAGGAGGTGGAGGCGGAGGCGGAGGCGGAGGCGGAGGAGGAGGAGGAGCGGAGGCGGAGGGGAGGCGGAGGACGGAGGCGGCAGGAGGAGGAGGCGGAGGCGGAGGAGGAGGCGGAGGAGGAGGAGGAGGAGGCGGAAGGCGGAGCTGAGGAGGAGGAGGAGGAGGCGGAGGCGGAGGAGGAGAAGGAGGAGGAGTAGGGAGGAGGAGGAGGACGACGACGACGACGACGAGGAGGATGAGGAGTAGGGAGGAAAAGAAAGAGAGGAGGAGGAGGAGGAGGAGGAGGAGGAGGAGGAGGAGGAGGAGGAGGAGGAGGAGGAGGAGGAGGAGGAGGAGGAGGAGGAGGAGCCCTGGATCTGACGGGATCTGCGCTGGCTCGAGCTCGCGGGGGCCGCCGCCCAACCGGGGGAGCAGGCTCCGGCCGCCGGGCCCAGAGCTCGAGCGGCCCTCGCCGCGGAATCCGGTGGATCGGGGGCAACGGTAGGGTTACGTCGGGCCTGCCCCTCCACAGGGGGGACATCCCAAAGTACTCCAGATTTCGTAATAAAAGGGAGGGGGTCTGGACCCTCCAAGACAAGCCATTTCAGACCCCCCCTCGTGGGAGAACCCTCCAAAACATCGTCCCCAGACCCCCCCAGGCCCTCCACGACAGCCTGGAAGAGACCCCTCCCGAAATGAGACCCCCCTCCCTTTATTATGAAATCTGGAGTAGCCAAGAAATGGTCTGGGGGCGATGCTTGGACCATTCTCGATTTTTGGGGGGGTATTTGGGGTGTATGTCTTATCTGTCGTCCAAAATCCGCGTGTAGGGGGACACGCCCAACCTGACAGTAGAGGGGGGGGAAATGGGCTCATGGCGGAGTGCGTCGACCGCCGATCGCCCCATTCGTCGCCGACGGGGGAACCCGAGAGTCCACCCTGCCCAGGAACGCGCGGATTCGCGATCGGTGGCCTGCTGCCGATCTATCGCCGATGTGTTGCCGATTGCGGCTCGAAGTGTCCCCCCCCGCTGAGCTGGGTCCCCCCCCCAACGTCCCCCCTCGTTGGAGCGCACTTTGTTTCCAATGCGCCCACGGTGCTTTGAGCATCTGACCACGGAATCGCGAGACTTGGCCTAATGAGCTCCAGCAGAGCCCGGATGCTTCTCACGTATCCTCCAGTCCCCCCCCAAGAAATAATTGCTTTTCTCTGACCCCGAAGCCGAAGTCTAGCAGGATTCATTCTTATGGTTTCCTGGTAGTATATCTTTCATGGCGCGGTACGAACAATGGTTTGCTCACGATGGATGTGAGTTCCTTCGGTGACCCCGAGGTCGCCAGACCTCGGATGAGATGCTACTGGCTTTGAAGTTGGGCCAGGGCGAGCTTGTTGCGTAGTCGTGTGGATCACCGAGCCGCCGCCCCCCCCCCGTCCCTCCGTCAGGTAAGATTTCCCGCCCTCCATGTTCCCGTTTCCTGCCGTCCTGCGCCTCACCCTTGAGGAGGTGGACCGCGTCTGTGGGCAGAATGCAGCTCTCGGGGGGCACTCCAACCACAAGCAGAAGATCAAGCACCTGCAGGCGATAAAGGAAGAGAACATGTCTTTGCGTCAAGAGCTCAAGAAGACCAAACTGGCGGTGGTTCAGGTGACTTCTTTTCAAGTCTCAGCGACTGGCGGATAATGCAAAGGGCTATTCAGTGCTGCTCAGCCTCTCAGAATTGTGCTGCCGGGGAGGGGGGGCAAAATCGTAGGGTGAAGTAAAGAGGCACTCGGATGTAAAACAGAAGGAGCGTTGCAGAATAGCATGTCGCTGCGGATGGCGGACGGTGGATGAGGAAGTTACCGGATCAGGGTGAGCGCAGCAAATGGGTATGAATCCATTTGGAGGAAGATTTCGCCAGACAGATGTGGCCAGTATCTATTTGATTTCGCTTCTGCATCATAGAACACAGCAGCTTCGGCAGGTTGGTGCAATGTCTGTATCAGTGCATGTTTAAAGGGTCTACGTCAAGTTCCGCCACCGTGCAAGCGGAGCGTTGAGTGCGACGATCCTCCGAGGACCGGCTAGGAGGTCGTATCGAGTAGTATTATAGTTCTCGCATGGGGGCCCCAGTGGGCAGTACATGTGACGCGCTCTTCCGACGGATCCACGCGTTCCTGACATGTGATCATGGAGGACCCAAAGGGCCGTAGCATGTGACGTATCCTTTCCCGAAATCGCCAAGGGCTGTATACGTGACAGCTCGCTTTCCCCATGAGGAGAGGGTTGTAACATGTGACGGCTGCATGTTTGGGACCTTATTGGGGCCGCTTCAGGCCGTCCAAGACCTCATGTCATGGGGGTTGCTTGGGAGGAGTTCGGAATGCATCCTGGAGGTTAGTGCGGCTTCTCTGGTGCGGCAATAAATAGCGACAGTTGAACAAAACATGAGTCTCGTATTTTCGCAATGTCGAGACGTCCTGGATGGACTCGTTGAAGCCCCCCCCTGATTTGTATCTCTGGCGCACAGTATAGCTCAAGGCTCCAGAAACGTAGCGACGACCTGGTGGGGCCTCGAAAGAGGTCGCCAAGGTAGGGTCGGGGCTATACTTGATTGTGCCTTGGGTTCCCTTGTGTGCCCCCGAAAAGTTGACCTGCACGCCTGCGAAGCATCTGGAGGAATGGAGGCCCTTCCGGCGCTGTGGCAGGTCATCATTTCTTCGGCCACGGCGTGGCGGGTCGCCGTCAGAAGAATTGCGATACCACGCGATAGTGGTTATATGCTCATGTGCGTTTCGTACTCAGCATTTGCTTGCTTACTTGCTTGCTCGATCACTCCAGGCTGTCATGCTGCGGTGCCCATACCAAGAACCCACTGGAAGATCCAGGTGGACATCTATTTTCTTGATCGTTCCAAACCGCTTGCACGGCAAACCACGGAGGGCACCAGCCGCACTTCCTCGTCGCTTGGGGGCGGAGGAGGTATGGTGCATCGCAGAGGGGTGGTGCAGTTCCAGCCCGCATACCAGTGGATGCTGCCCTTCTCTGATCCAAAGAGCGGCGCCAGCTGGAGAATCAGGTCCGGAGCTCCCACTTCTTCGAAGTCGCGTGCGACGGTGTTCCCACTGCAGCTGCGTCGTCTGGCCAGCACACCCCGGCGCGGCCCCCGCGAAAGGACAGCAGCCAGCCCACCACCCCCAGCACGGCGCTCAGCTCTGCCGCTCGCGCGCTCGGCGGCGCACGCGGGTGACTTAGGGGAACTCGGGAGATGGCATGGTGGCTCGGTGGTCCAAGGCGGCGGAGCGTTCGACAGATTGGGGTCGCGAGATCAAAAGGATCGAGCTGCCGACCTGCCTGGCACACCCCGCATGCCCTGGCCGCCAAGCACAGAGTCTGTCGGTGCTCCCTGGGCATCCCGCCTCGTGCTTTCCACGAGTGACGACGGCATATCGCGGCCGCCAGGCTCAAAGTGCGGCAGTGCTCCCCAGTTGCCCCGCCTCGCGGTCTTGGATGGGGATCGCTCGAAGCAAGCAACTGTTTTTCTCCCTCCTCCGCCCACTTACCGCTCCTTCTTGTTGTTGCATGTCAGCCGTGGCCGGTCCTACGCCTCGATGAAGTTTCATTCGGGTACGTATGCTCGTGTTTGTCACGGTCGCTCGGAGGCCTGTCCCGTGCTTCACCTAGAAACAGTTATCGGAGCATGTTGGTTGGACCAGGTCGGATTCCTTGCGAAGGCCTCTGGCGGACGAAGCCGAACCGAGTTCCAGAGGGCGCCGCACACCTGCAAGTAGGACAGGGTCTCGCAGTTTCGCCCGCTGCTGCGACCCCAGGAGGGCGGGCGGGTTGCTCTCCCTACAGTTGTAGCTCGAAGGGCTCATCGGCACTGCGGCGTCACGGACGCCCCCGTCGTCCTCCCGCTGCCTTGGCGGCCTTCGGGGTCCGAGGACCACCTCGCCAGGGCAACGCTCTTCGAGGGAGCCTCCATACGTTTAAGACGTTGAGAGAAGGACCGGTCTCTGGTTTCCGGGCCGTTCCTTACGTAGATCTAGGTCGGGGAATTTATTCGTGGCCGAGGCTCGCCGTGGCCATAAAAGCCCTTTCGTCCTTCATTTGGCATTCCGTATGGTCGCACGATGGCTGTACCGCACATGGCGCTGTCAGACACCAGAGCCGAGCCCGATCTCTTCGCCGTCGGGGGGGTGTTCTTGGGCGGGCGCCTTCTGCCAACAGCCTGCCTGCTGCGCAGCAGTGCGCACAGGCCCAGCCAGTGCGGCGGGATATCCTGCGCCGCCGGAGCGCGCTCGTCTCGGACACGCCGCAGGCCCCAGGCGCCCCCCCCCACAGGGCGCCTCGTCCCGCGGGTTGGTGAGAGGACCGCCCCTGCCATGGCCGGGGCTCTCTCCTGCGCCGTGCGCCGCGCCACCGGGGCCGAGCGCGGGGCGGCGTGGCTGCGGCCGCGCTCGGCCGGCCGGTCTCTCGGGCGACCCCGCGGGGCGGGTCGGCCTGGTGCTGCGGGCGGTCCGTGCTGGGGCGGCGACACAGTGGGGGCCCATGCCAAGGAGCGCCCTGTTTGCCTCCAGGGTGCCCTGGGTTTCTTCGGCTTCGGTGGTTTTGCGGTGGGAGGCGTGGCGCTCCCGCACCGAAAATCAACGGGCGTCCTGGGGTTTCAGGGTTGGGTTTCTTGTGGAATCGTTCTTTTGGACTGGCCTCCACTCTACGTGGGAAAGGGTCGAGGTTTGCATGAGAGGGGCCCGGAGGTGCACGAGACCGAGTCCTGGGGCCTGCGCCCTACCCCAGACAAGGGCCTGCGGCCTGCGCTTTCCCGACATGGTGCTTGCGCCCTGCACAAGACAGTGTCCTGGGGCACGCGCCCCACCCAAGACAGGGGCATGCGCCCTTCCAGGCCAGGGGCCTGCGCCCAGCAGAAGAGTGGGTCCTGGTGGGGGCCTGCGCCCTACTCAAGACAGGGGCCTGTGCACCTTTCTTCACTCCCCTGTTGCGAATAGAAGCATAAATATAAACTGTCGGGGGTCCTCTCGGATTTCTTGGATCGGCGCTGGACCCCCCTCCCTGGCGCGCGGAGCTCGCCAGGGGGTCCAAGCGCCGATACAAGTAATCCGCGTGGACCTCAAAAGTTGTGTTTACGCAGTTGTCTTTTAGCGCCGCATGTATGTTCTCCAGCAGGTCGCAGCAGGTGCAGCAGGCTGGCCGAGGGCCTCAGCCGACCTGCTGCGAGCTGGCGGGAGGGCAAGCCCAGGTTCGACCCACTCTCGACCTGGTGGAGCGAGTGGCATGCGTCTCTGGGGTGGGTGCGCGCCCCTCTGCGTCCGCCAGCCCGACCAATCTATCTTTCCCTCACCTTCCCTCACCCCTCCACCCCTTGCGCCCCAGGAGGCCAGATGGCATGAGGAGGAAGAGGAGGAGGCGGAGGTCGAAGACGGAAAACATGCGTGAACGTGAAGTTTCGAGGGTCCTCGCGGACCTCCGAGAGTTCATGTGCGTTTTATTCTTCTGGGGAGTCCAGATGGACTAAGGAGAGGGAGGAGGAGGAGGAGGAGGAGGCGGAGGAGGAGGAGGAGGAGGAGGCGGAGGCAGAGGCGGAGGCGGAGGCGGAGGCTGAGCGGGAGTGGAAAGCGGGCAGAGAGGGGGGGGGTGGGGGCATATGGTGGGAGCGAGCGGGGGAGACAACGAGTGCCTCCTGGGCGCTCCTCGGCGCCCACGGGCCGACGAGCCGGTGGCATCCGTGAGGGTGCCCGCGATCCGCTTCGGTCGGGTGCGTGCGGTCGGCTCTGTGGCTCGGTCGGCCGCTGCGCCGCCACGCCGCTCTCCATAGGCCGGCTTCGGCCCGTCGGCCTCGGCCCGTGGCGCGCCCGGCCCGTCGGCTCGGCCTGTTCTCGGCCCCGCCTTCGAGGCGGGTGCCGCCGTGGGCGTCTGCGGTCCGGGGCGGTGGCCCCAGCATATGTTGCCCCCATCCTACTTAAGGACCACATCCCAGAAGTAATGTCGAGCAGCCGAAGAAGTGTCAGAAGAGTGTCGAAAGAGTGTCGAAACAGAATCGGACGAGTGTCTCCCAGGGCCCGACACGTGAAAGCCCTGGAGTCTCGGTACTTTTCTGGCGCTCGAAGTTCTTTCTGGTGGTCAAGGCTAAAAGAAGGTTGGAACATCATAAGCCTCAGCACGACTCCTCGGCGAGGCGGCCGGCTGCGGCTCGGGGAGGGGGGGCCCTTGCATGCCGCCTCAGGCCGCGCGAGGGCCGGGCAGCCGCCGAGGACGCCGGGCCAGCCGCGCACGCTGGGCTTGAGCGCGTCCACCGGCTGCCTGAACCCAGGAGTCCCGGCGGGGCGGCTAAGGAGTTTGGTCGGGAGCCTTGAGACGGGGGTCAATGCAAACGGAGGTCAGCCAGGGCACCAGATCCTGCAGGATCCTGCGAAGTCCCCCTCTGGCTGACCCGGGTTAGCGAGCCGCTCGTGGCCGCGAGGCGGCCGCGCATATTGGCTGACCCGGGTTTGCGAAGACCTGCGTTGCAGTTTTTGTTTCCTGCATTGCAGTTTTTTGGTTTCTTGCTGACCCGGGTCTGGATTGACCCAGGTCAGAAGATCCCCGATCTGGCGGAGGCATTCTACAGGAGGAAAATTTCAAAATTGTCAACAAAGAATCGTCAGGGGACGAGTTGGTCCGCATTTGTTGGCAATTGGGGGGCATTTCTGGAGTATTTATCGTTTTCTTCCAAAATCCGCCTGTAGGGGGAAAGGCCCGACCTAAGGATAGTCCCGGCTGGCCTCAACAGGCCAGTCAGGACTGTTTAGGAGATGTGCGCGCGCAACCCGAAGCCTAACCAGCCACGGCCCGAAGCCCGCCGTTGGTCGGCATCGCTAGACTTGCAGCCGAGACGTTGAGATAAGGGCTACGTCGGGTTCGGGAAAGGCTCTGATGGTCGGGCCGTTGCCCAGACCTGGGTCGGGGAACACTTCCGTGACCGAAGCTCGCCGTGGCCAGTAGTAGCCTCGTCGTTCCTCGCTCAGCGTTCCTGATGGCAGCACGATGACCGCACGTCCCCATCCCCACCAGGAGAGCCCTGGCCTCGCCGTCCGACCTGCCCCCCGGGCCCCAGGGTGGGGACAGGGTGCCGTCTCCGTCCCCCCACCTTCCAGTCGGGCCTGTCCCTCTACAGGGGGGAATACTCGAAACTAACTAGTTCCACACACATGGGGACGACTTGTTTTACCATGCCTGAGCACTTGTGGTGCATCTGTGGGGCATGTTTTATGTCTCGTCCAAAGGGAGGAGGAGGAGGAGGAGGAGGAGGAGGAGGAGGAGGAGGAGAGGAGGAGAGGAGGAGGGGAGAGGAGGAGGAGGAGGGAGGAGGAGGAGGAGGGGAGGAGGAGGGGAGGAGGAGGGCGGATGCTGAGGAGGAGGAGGAGGAGGGGGACACGCCCGACCTCACCCCACCTGGGGGGGGACGGCAGGCCGGTGGCGCCCGGGGAGCCCTGGACGCCCTGGGCACGGGGACGCGTGCGAAGGGTGCTGCCTCGGCCCGCGGCGAGGCTCCCCAGCCTGCCCGGCCGCCCCCCGGCACCGCCCCCCCCCCCGGTGGCCCGGCCTCGCCACCCCCAGAAGGCCGACGACGAAGTTCGGGGGCATGGCATCCGATGTGCTGCGCGCAATGGGACAAGGCGGGACCACGGGAGCGAGCGAGCGAGCGAGCGAGCTCCTCCTCCTCCTCCTCTGGCTCTGCCCTAATTATTGGTTTCTACCTTAGGATAATACCTCCTCCTCCTCCCTCCTCCTCCTCCTCCTGCCTCCTCCTCCTCCTCCTCCTCCTCCTCCTCCTCCTTGTGGGGGGATATAAGGAACGCTTTCGGGCCGGACGAAAGGGGGGGATCGGGAAAGGGGGGGGGACGAAATTTGCTGTATGCAGCTGGTCTCGGCCCCACCGAGAGGCCCATGCCTCAGGCGCCGGGAAAATCAGCTACGTGAGCTGATTCTCAAAACCTTTTTAAGCTATCCCCCCCTTTCGCCCGACCCGATATTATTAATTATGTGGACAAACGCCGAGCGGAAAGGCGATCGTGCATCTGATAGATGCACAGTGCAAACCACATCGGCTACAAGCAAGATCCAGCCGCTCCGCTGGAACCCTGGCAGCAGCTCAACACTCGAGGAAGGTTGTGACCCTGCGGTCGGCACGCAGCAAGAGCGTAAGGCTGGACCACCCCTGCTCCGACTCAGCTCAAGAACGTCTTAGAGTTAGGTGGTCTATCAGGAGAGGAAAAAACACACAGACACAATTCATCGTCGATTCCTCATAAAATATTGGGAAATATGGGAAGTGGGGGGGAAGACAAAAATCCAGAAGATATGGGCAAATATGGGGGATATGTTTATTTGTGTGTATTTATTTGTGTGTCCCAGGGCCCCTTCAGTCTAAGCGTTAAGGTGGCACCATCTACGCCGAGTCGGTCTTCAAGTCCTTATCCAGGAAGGATCTGAAGATGCCCACCGAATGTACCATATTGTGCTACATCAGATGCGTCCGGCAGATAATGGAGAGAGGTATCGTACATAGCGCGCAGCGGTGTGATGCACGTGGCATGACGGCCGATGGGCACCGAAGGCCGCATCGATCGTGAACTACTCTTACAAGCGATGGCAGGTATTCAGTCATTCAAGCATGAGGTACAGGGTACATTCCTCGCAGAGGAAGGATGTCAACGGCTCCTGAGCCCGGCCCACATCGAGCCAGCGGTTGAGGCGCGACCGCAGGCATAGGCACATCTTAGTTTTGCCTCCGCCCAGTCACGGGCTGCTACGTTTGTAGCTGCCTGGTCACGGGCCATGCGCGCGCGGTTGCTCGGTCAGGGGCTGCAATTTCCCTCGCATTCCGAGTTCGGCGCTCGAGCATCTCTTCGGATATCCACCCATAGTTCGGCCCGGGTGGGCCCGCTGCTCGGTTGGAGCGGCGGGCAAGTCCCATCCGCGCAGACGGACTTCTCGGTCACCTTTTTGCCACCGCGAAGGCATTGCCCGGTATACTGCTGTTTTTGTTGATCGTTGCTACTACATGGCGGATATAGTAGCTTCACGCGGCCCGTCGCTCGACTCCCCCTTCCCGATTTCGAACGGAGGTTTCAGGCGAGGTGCGAGGCGGCGTGCCGAAGTCCCGGCGCCGCTTTGGCTCAAGCGACGTCGCTTTGTTTGCCTGTCCGAGTCGCGGAACAGGCTAACAGTCGAGCAACGGAAAATATACGTACAAATCTTTCGGTGACGCACCATCTACTGGCGACGTTCCTACTACTCCCATGCCTACATTTCGTATACCCGCTCATGCCTAAATCATGTGGTGATACGGAAGGCTGCAGAGATAGTAGATGGTACGGCTTACGGTGTCCATTTCGACCTGCCAGCTCTCCGGGCATTTTGCCAAGCGTTTTTGCAAGCGCTTCCGACGAGCTCTCCAGCTTCCCAGGGATCCTCGTGGCCTCGGCTTCGCGTCGCGAGCGCGGATCCTCCGTTTTGTTTACGGTCGCGGCCGCACCGTACGTAACTTGCGGCAGGGCGGTCTGGGTCGTCCGCAGCCGGTGGGCGCCCAGGGGCGCAAAAAGCGGAGGGGGCATCCTCCTCTTCCATTATGTGTTCTTGTTTTTCCTCCTCCTCTTCCTCCTCCTCCTCCTCCTCCTCCTCTTCCTCCTCCTCCTCGCCCTCCTCCTCCTCCTCCTCTCCTCCTCCTCTCCTCCTCCTCCTCCCTCCTCCTCCTCTCCTCCGCCTCCTCCTCCTCCTCCTCGTCCCTCCTCCGCCTCCTCCTCCTCCTCCTCCTCCTCCTCCTCGTCCGTCCTCCTCCTCCGCCGCCTCCTCTTCCTCCTCTTCCTCCTCCTCCTCCTCCTCCTCCTCCTCCTCCTCCTCCTCCTCCTCCTCCTCCTCCTCTTCCTCCTCCCCCTCCTCCTCCTGTTTCCAGAGGTCCACCGTACCGCGTTGGCGTCTCCCGATGCGTCGTCAATCATCGATTCAGGGAAAATGCGGTGCATAGCTTTTCCGGACCCATGGGCCGGAAAACTATGCACCGTACCGCTTTGGAACGGGGCCCGAAGGGAATCCAAACATGGCAAATTCCACGAAGCCTGGGATAGGGGTCGACGTATCCCCTGTTGGAGGATCAGGGGTCGAGGATCGAGGAGGAAGCTTCCTCGAGGGTCTAGAATCGAGGGTCGAGGAGCGAGGATCGAGGCTCGAGACTCGAGGTTCGATGCCCTCGAGGGTCGACGGCCTTCCGCCTCCTCGAGGAACGGACGCGGCAGGGCGGCCGCCGCCGGCCGCGGCGGAGACCCTCGCGGCGCTCGGCGACGGCCGCCCGGAGGCGGCGCGGCGCGAGCGCGCCGAGGCGCTGCGGCAGGCCCGCGCGCACCGCCGGGCGTCCGAGCGGGCGGTGCCGGGCCTCGGCTGCTGCCCCCCCGGGGGCGGGCGGCCGGCTGCAGGTACGAGGACGAAGGACGAGGGCGAGGGCGACGGCGACGACGAGGACGACGACGACGACGACGACGACGACGACGACGACGACGACGACGACGACGACGACGACGACGACGACGACGACGACGACGACGACGACGGCGGCGGCGGCGGCGGCGGCGGCGGCGGCGGCAACGGCGGCGGCGACGACGACGACGGCGGCGGCGGCGACGACGACGACGGCGACGACGCGACGACGACGGACGACGACGACGACGACGACGACGGCGACGACGACGACGACGACGAACGGCGCGGCGGCGCGCGGCGACAACGGCGGCGGCGACGACGACGACGACGACGGCGCGGCGGCGACGACGAAGACGACGGCGACGAGACGACGACGGCGACGGCGACGACGACGGCGACGACGACGACGACGACGACGAGCCGATAACGATGACGCAAACGACGACGACGACGACGACGACGACGACGACGACGACGACGCAAACCACGACGACGACGACGACGACGACGACGACGACAAACGACGACGACGACGACGACGACGACGACGACGACGACGACGACGAACCGACGACGAACCGGCGACGAACCGACGACGACGACGACAGCGACGACGGCGACGACGACGACGGCGACGACGCCGACGACGCCGACGACGCCGACGACGATCGCGTGCATTCGGGTGCAACGATAGGGGGGAGGATGAGCAACAGGGGAGGAACTCTGGCTTCGAGGTTCGAGCCTCACGTTTTCAGGCCTGTTCGTCGGCTGTCGGCGGCTTTCTGGCCTCGGGGTGCTTCCTACCGGCTGCGCTTCGCCGAGGGCTTTCTGGGGGGTGCCTGGATCGTCCCGAACGGCCGCCGGAGACCCGAGGTATGACCCGAAAACTGATTAGGGGATTAGGGGGGGGGGGATGCATCGACCCCCAGACGCCCGTTGATCGCCGATTGGGGCCCGATAGGCCCCACCCCGCCCAGCAAGGTGCGGATTCGCTGTCGGGGGCCTATCGCCGATCAGTCGACGATGCATCGCCGGTTCCGTGTCGACGCTGCGCCCCCCGTGCCGGTTCCCCCGCCTCGTTGCCCCTCACCCCCGTGTGCGGGCGGCTGCACGTACTCCAGGAGGCGGAGGCGGAGGCGGAGGAGGAGGCGGAGGAGGAGGAGGAGGAGGAGGAGGAGGAGGAGGAGGAGCCTTGGGTCTGACGGGATTTGTGCTGGCTCGAGCTCGCGGGGGCCGCCGCCCAACCGGGGGAGCAGGCTCCGGCCGCCGGGCCCAGAGCTCGAGCGGCCCTCGCCGCGGAATCCGGTGGATCGGGGGCAACGGTAGGGTTACGTCGGGCCTGCCCCTCCACAGGGGGGACATCCCAAAGTACTCCAGATTTCGTGATAAAAGGGAGGGGGTCTGGACCCTCCAAGACAAGCCATTTCAGACCTCCCCCGTGGGGGAACCCTCCAACACATCGTCCCCAGACCCCCCCAGGCCCTCCAAGATAGCCTGGAAGAGACCCCCCCGAAATGAGACCCCCCTCCCTTTATTACGAAGTCTGGAGTATGTGCCAGGGTTGGACCTAAACGGTGTCTTGGCGATTTCGTGGGCCGTTTTCGTTTCGAGGTCGTGTTGCGGTAAAGGCGGAGTGGAGACAGAACGATGGAGAACGGAGACAAAACGAGAACGAAAAACATTGTTTAGGCTCCGCCCTGATGTGTGCTGTACTCCCTGGCCCCAGTGTGCTTCAAGCGCCCTCTTGCTTCAGGGATCGGTACTCCGAATTTCTTATTAAACAACCGGGGGTGACAAACCTGAAAGCGCGGCGCGGCCAACCCCCCCCAGCACCACCGTCGCGACCCAGCGGGGAAGGGATCGAACCCCAGACCCCCCCTTGGCACCCCCGCGGACGCGCCGCGGCCAACCCCCCTCGGGCTCTCCAAGGGGGGGCGATTAGTAAGCGATTGAGCGATCCAGAGTATGTGCTTGCTTGTTTTTCCATCTGCGGGGTGGCCCTGCGGGGCCCACTGCGATCCGCTCGATCCGATTCGATACCGATTTCGGCCAGGTCGATCCGAGTCGACCTCGGTCACAGTCCGCTGCGCGGAGGGCGTGGGTATGAGAGAGAAGAGAATTTGAAACAAGTCGGCGATCCCCCAACACCCCTATCTCAGGGAAAGATTCTGGAAAGGAGGCAAAAACACTTCCTCGAAAATCAGTGTTCGATTGCTGAAAAGCTTTCTGCCCGTTTACCTGAACAAAGCGGTTCTGGCTCGATGTTTGCACGGAGCTGCTATGAATCCTGGCGCAGCCGATCCGATCCGATCTCGATGACGTGCCGAGGCAGCCCGATCCGATGCAGCCCGTGCCGATCCCACCCAGCAAAGCAGATCACTTCGATGATCGATGCGATGTACCGAGCCGATGCGTCTAGGCCTCCCAGGTGGGGTCGGAGTAGATGGGGTCGGCGGATCGCGCCGCATCGCCGATGCATCGCCGATGCGGCTCGATGTGGAGCCCGATGCGCTTCACGTCGCCGTCGCCGATGCATCGCTGACGGCGACGATTCATCGCCTGCGCATCGCCGATGCATCGGCGATGCGGCGCGATCCTCCGACCCCATCTGCTCCGACCCCATCTAAGAGGCCCCTAATGCTGCCTGATCCTGCCCTTCGCCGGAGTGGCCTTCGGTGCGCGGAGGCGCGGGGGCGCGGGGGCGCGCGGGGGCCGAACCCGGGCGCGCGGGGGCCGCCGGTGGTGGTCGTACCCGACGCAGCGATCGGCGAGCCGCGCACCAAGAGTCACTCCTGCCCGGAGGGGGGGGAGGAGGAGGAGGAGGAGGAGGAGGAGGAGGAGGAGGAGGAGGAGGAGGAGGAGGA